TGCACAGAGGCAGTGCACTATGGGGCATTTTCATACAACCAGGCGGTCAAAAAAATTTCTATCATTTTTTAACAATTTCTGCTATTATTCTTGATTTGTTTCATCAATATAAGGTGTGCGTTATCACTTTTCAACATTTTCACGACCAACTTTTGAAAAGGGCCTAACTTTTGATTAATCAAAATTTAATTTTTACGATTTTATAACGGTTACAGTTTCAAGCTTGTCTTCAGAGAATAAAATCTATTGAACAAAGAAAACGTACCATGGTTTTATTGGGGGAAACACCGTAAAAAATAAAAAAATAAAACTTTTTTTTGGAAATAAAAAATACGAAAAGCCATGATACAATAATCAAAATCAAATATGTTTCAACGAATTTCTTTTTATTCCTCTGTTACAATATCATCATGAACAAATTCTTCTTCAATTTCATCGACTGCTTTCATAAGTTCCTCCAAGGCATTGAAGTTATTAGTATCGACTACTGAATCACTTACAGAATTTTCAAATATCATGAAACTTTTCACGATGTCGGGATAATCCAGGGATACTTTTTTTTGTCGTCTTTTTGCCATCCAAATGGAACTGATCAGTGGGTCCGATTCATTAATGGCACGAATAAAGACATCATGTAAATTTTCTACTCTTGATCGTTTTCTTGCATGATGGGTTCGATATTTTTTCAATTGTTTATGTTGACTTTCTGCTGCCTCTTCCGTCAATGAACCAAGTGGTGCTGGTGAATGTATGATTATTTCTCCGGCATGAGCGAGAACTTTATGCACGGTTGCAGGAATTTTGTACCAATCATACAATTTAAGATAGAGCCTATATGTTTCCTTGCAATATGCATCAAATTTTTCCGGGTTTATTGGCTCTTGGCAGTTAATAGCAATTAATATATTCCGGAATCTGAAAATTAACTCTTCATCAATGTTCAGCACGGAGCTTAAAAACTTGGGATTTCCAAATGCTCTTCGACAAACGTTTCCTGTAGTACTGGTACCTGCTTTACCCGATCATGGTTGATCTACTCTTACTCCAAATTTTTCGTAAAGCTGTGTCGTCACATGTTTTTTCTTTGTTCATATAGTTCTTTGAACGGTTTCGTTACCTTCCATTTTTTGATATCCATTCTGTATGCAATATGCAAAAGGCATTCGAAAAATCTTATCCAAGCATGAAGTGGAGATATGCCGTAATGCAAGGCTTCTCGTTTGATATAAATCCTTCCTCGAATTTCTCTGCATCATTCATTACATTTGGTGTTGCCCCACATATTGGACAATTCTGCATCGACGAATTTCCAGTGATATAAGTTAAGACTTTTCCGTCTATCATACTGAGGACAAAATCAAAATCAACAAGTAAACTTGTCGTTTGAGAGTTCAATTTTCACTGGCGTTAGTTCACTCATTTCTTTTTCTACATCCTGTTTTGTAGCCAAAATAACTTCTTTACTCTCTTTAATGAATTCAAGGATGAATGGCCTACAAAATCGAGTACTTTGAGGCATGGGATTAAACCACATAATTTCCTTTCGATCATTGTACATGAACAACTGAATTGGTGTTAAAGTGGACGAGAATACATCTGAATCGTCCTGACATCCTTCTGGTAGCACTTGATGATATTGCGAATATCCAGTTGATCCATCCATACCCCAGCTACATAGAAGAACCAGTTCCGTAGAAACTAGATCGTTGCTATCCATATACTCGTTGAGCTCTGCATCAATTATTTGGACGATTCGTTTCACTGTATTTTCCATCAGCGCCTGGAGTTTCACTTTTATTTTCAATGCACTTTCTTCGATGAATTCACTAGGAGGGGCGCATATTTTTTTCATTGCTCCGATCACATAGTAAGGTGGAAATCTTGAAGGTGATTCACTATGTATTACTTCGTATTGAAATCTACTCAATCCAGCCTCGATAAGTACACTAAAAGCCTCTTCTGGTGACATCATTCCTCGTTGATCAGTTAGTTGAGCCAGCATGGTTTTAGAGCTTTTTTGGTTTTTTAAAATATGCCTAATAACTTTAACTAAATTAAAAGAAAGCTTTCTCGATGGTATCGAATTTTGGATCAACTGCTTTTTTATCGATGACGCGACGTTTTCCTCTTTCACTCAAATCCAAGAAGGGTTTTGAAGGTCGTCCACGTTTTGTTCCCGAGGCCGAGGTTGAGGCAACACATTGCTCCTGTTCGATGAATTCCTCGATGCCAAATTCTCCATCAAGCCAATTCCGAAAATACGACTCAAATCGCTCTTTCGTGCGATTAGCTTCATGCCATTTGTTGATGTATTTAGTAACGATTTTATGGATCTTTTCATCGAGACATTTACGTTTTTCCACCGAGATGTTATAATTTTCACAAATGAATTCAATGGCTCTGTGAACATTGTCACTATGGCTTAATTTTGCGTCTAATAGATTAATAATGAATATCCATGCTCACATTTGGTCTCAACCGTAAATTTGAATTACACTGTAGTAGTTTAAATAAAAGCTACACAAAATACACTATGGCTTCAAATTGACACTACAGTAGGTTAAGTACAGACTTAGGTATAAATTAAACTCATGCGCGCATATGCGTAGGTACATAATTACGCATATGCTTCTATAATCGTCATATCCCAGGTACTTACTTTAGAATAAAGCATAAACGAATGTAGTTTTACGTTCATCCAACAGTGAACTTTATGATAATGATGACTTCTTTTTGTACAAAAGCTTAAGCCCTTTTTAATAGTTGGTCATGAAATATTAGAAAATGTTCTTTAACAATATATGTCGACTATACCAACCGAATATAACTCCAAAAGTTGCAAAATAATTGTTGAAAAAGTTTGTTTCCAAGCCGGCTCTTTACAATTTGAAATCTCCCATAATAACCGAAAATTTTCAAATCGCTTATATTTCCAATGGGACAGGTTGGGGCAGGCAAACTCTTCAGTTCTTGTTATAGTACACTCAAAACTTCATCCAGAGCTGAGAATTAGCCTGGGAATGTGCGAGACTCGAAAGTTTGTGATCAATAAAGTTAAATTTTCATTAATTTTCAATTATTTTTTTTTCTATTTTTATTTTTAAATTTTTTTGTCTCCATCAAATTTCCAAATGGATTTTATTTACAGAAAGCTTATTAAATTACCTTTCCAACGATGTATAATGATGTGGTAGTTATATGATAAATAGTGGATGAAATTTTATTTGAGTAGTATTTAGTGTATTTTTGGGGCAAAATTTGTACTTTTATTTGACTTCGACATCCGATATCTCAGAAACTAAAACTGCTAGAAGCTTGAAACTTTTAGATTCTCTTAGTTGAAATGTTTACTATCATAACGAAATAAGGATTAGTGAAAGTTGATTTTTTGAATTTTGACCGCCTGATATCTGATAGTGCAGTGTGAGAACCCGGAATTTAATTATAGGAACCTGAAAAAATCTGGAAAATTAGGACCCTGGTATTTTTGTCCACCCACCGCTATTTCTCGATTGTTTTCCAACCGGTTGAGCTGATTTTTAGATAGTGATTAATGTTAACCATAAACTAGACACCTACTGTAATAGGTGATGGCAGGCCAATTGGTTGAAGGAGAGCCGAGAAAAAGAGTTCTTCGTACGATTCGTGCACTCTTGACACAGTTGTTGTGAATCTCTAGATCGAAAGATCCATGTCCCTCCCCATGGGTAGGATCAACTTAAGTACATATTTCCAAAACCCACTACCCATTGAATAGATCATAATTGCTTATCTTTTGATGTCAAAAGATAAGCAATTATAACGGAATTTAAAGGAAATAAACCAACCCACTCAAAGCTCTTCATAAAGGGATTCTGTTAAGAGGTTCGAGAAATTCAAAGGATAGATCATAATGTCAAACACGCCGTTCAGCAGTTTTCTTCAACCGTTTAAAACTAGCAACCCTGTCGCGAATTTTCCACGTCGCGAATCGTCACCCTCAACACCCAACGTGAGAGAGAACGGGAGCCAATTACTCTTTGAGAACACACGAGACCACGAGCGAAAAAAAAAATCGCATGCTCACGTTTTTGTCGTTCTTTTTTATGTCTTGTTTTGATTCCTGTTGAACCTGCTCTTCCAAAATATGTTGTTGCTAGCCGCCTAGACAGCATCGTGACTTGTAAGTTCACAGACCGGTTCACTCCGAGTTTACCAGCATGTAACTCCAGTTATGCTCCCTTGAATGCCTCTACATAAAAACAGTGCGTGCTTGGCCTTTGGTTAGTGTTTTTCCATTCTACTAGACACACACTGACGAAGACGACGACGATGATTAACCACCGACCACCTACGCTGCCAGGGCGGCCAACGCGGGTTAACGAATGCAGTTTTAGTTATCAATGAATGAATAGTTTCGTTGCTGCGTTAGCCCCTCACTGAGTGCGGGGTGGTGCATCATCATTGTTTTGCCGGCTCTCGCATTTTCTCGCCCTCTCACGAGAGGCGTTGGAGCGGTGCCATTCATTTATGCACAGCCCACCCAGGGGAGTCCCATCGCAGTGTGTGCTGGTATTGGTGACGGTATTTTAACAATGACACTCGCGGGAACCAATTTCTCTCGGTCAGTCAGTCAGAGTCAATCAAACGTTGCAGACACTAACTAGCCTAGCTAGTAGCGCTAACTTCTCTACACACTACACTGTACTCCGGTATTCTGAGTAATCCGCTTCAGGAATCGATTGCGACGGGACTTACTGCTAGTTGGATCCTGTGCTGAGAAATAGCAAGAAAATTCACACAGGTTCACAGTGATTGAGCTTTCGTGAATCACCAAGAAGAACGAAACGGGTTTCGTGAATTCGTGATTCAACCGCGCCGCCGGATTGCGTTACCAGTGCTCAGCCGTGGGGCTTATTTTTAGCCGGAAGAATCGTCAGTCCCGACAAGTTAATTTCGCTTTTTCGGCAAATTCACTATCAATTGCTAAAATTAGCGGATCTGTCTGCGAGCGGATCGGGTGTGTGTTATAGTTGTTGTTTTTGCTGTTGTTGGTGTCTGAAGCAAATCGATACAATACGTCTCCGTGCAGTGTACTAGAGACGAAGACGTCGGCAAAGGGTGTTAAAGGGGGCCGATATACTGACCGCAGTGAAGAAGTGAGAAAATTGGGAGCGAATACGTCTCACGACGCGTGACAACCACGGTGTGTGCGAATCAAAAGAAGTCTCTATCACTAGGCAACCACCGGTGTCTGTGTGCGTGTCTGTGTTTGAGTGCGCACAAGTTCTTTGCTTGGAAAACGTGATTTAGCCACACGGCGGAATTCCATATGTATAAATTCTTCGTGAATTCGAGCGTGAAATACATAATAAAGTAGAGAGCAGTGAAGATCAAGTTCAAAGTGTTTCCCGTTACAAGTGTGAGCTTGGTTACTTTGTGAAGAAAATAGGTAAAAATAAACCTATACTGAGTACAGTGAGGAACGATTCTACTAGCGAATCCAACTATCAAACCGGTGCTTGTTTTTTGCTCGGATCGACAGAAATAACTAATTTCATGTGTAAATTCGCAAGCAAGAAGAATTCAATCCTACTCGACAATAAGAAACGTGTTCGACTATTCTTCCGCAAGCCACGCTACACGCACTACTGCTCAGTTTGGTACATTATAGAATCGGCAGCGGCAGCAGCGGAGGAGAAAACGGTCAACGGCGCGGATCGACGGGCACGGATCAACTGAATTCCCATATTTTTCCAAAACTGTGAGAGTGCGTAACAGCCATCATCATCACACAACAACCCAAGTAGTATTCACACTTCATTCGTCAAGAATTCAAACGAAAATCCATTCCTAGCACTTTGTGTAGGCGAACAAAAATCTACCGAGTCTTGTCCAGTGCGTGTGTTCGTTTGTTTAGGGGAAGCTCCAGGACCGGTTCTACGCTTTACAGTGTCCGCCGGGGTGAAGAGCTTTACATAACTTCCCGTCACGTACAGCTCGCGAGTGGATAACTTTGCCATAACCAGACGAACGTTCACTGAGGGGCTCAAGTGTGCAAGCAAAGTGAGTGTTCGGCAGCGAAATCACATGTGTGGCAATGTGCCTTCCCTGTGCTGAGGGAAAATAGTGCTGATACTCACCGGACAACATACGGCACCGGCGAATTGTGCGCGAAATACGATACTCGGTGTCCTACAACAATCTGATAACCCGTGTGGAACATTGTGACGAGCGAGTCCAATCGAGTGTGGAAGATTCGGAAAGCTCAGCGAGCGTGTCGGTCGTCAGCTTAAATCAACGCAGACACCTTACCAGTGAATTGTCCAGGAAGCACTTTGAGAAGGCGCCGAGCACCATGGAAGGCTATTGGGAAGCAACCAACGGTCACGCACCGCATCCCGTCAAGTACGAGAGGTGAGTGTTGTTCATCTTTCAATTGCTTTGATGATTATACACAAAGAAATTCTTGAAGTTATGTTCTGTAAATCTATATCTTGGATAGGGTCTCTGAAACTCGATATTACGGAAACGAAACAACTGCTAATGTTAATTTTTATATCATTCATGGACAAGTTTTCGGATGGCTACATACATTAGCGTCGCATCATTTTGATAAAAAGTTTGATTCATAGTCCCAACATTATGTGACTGTACCGAAAATCGTAAAGATTGTTGAACATAGAGGGGTCGCGTATAAGCTTTATACGTATGGAGATTTTTATGAATTACTCTGAAAATATTCTTAAATATTGCTTTAACTTATGTTCTAATGCTGTCAAAATTAAATATGTGGACTATGTGGTCAACAAGCCTTTTGTTATTGCAATGCAATTTATTTTGCTTATTGTTGAAAGGCACACACAAACACTCAAAAATCGGAAGATCAACAACAGAGGGATTTTCGAACATTATAATTTATTTTCGATGTGTCAAATTTAAGATAAAATTCACCAAATGAAACACAGCCTAAACCATAAATTTTGCCTATTTGAGTTTTTTTTAGCTTTGGTGGCCAGAAATCCACCAAAAAAACTAATTGCACGTCATACAAATTCGCGAAATAACTTTGAAACAAATAAATGCGTTGGTCGGGGGCATGAGTTGATGGGTCGATAGGTAGGGTCCAGGTGTGGTAAGATTGGTACCAACAATCAATACGAAACTATCGATTTGAAATTGGCTCACTAAAGGGTTATACGGTCAAAATTTGGTCAATATCAACTTGACGTATTTCTTTCAATTTTGCATTTAAAAAACCTGAACACCCCTCATTTTGAAGGTGTGTGTGTGTAGAATGTTGCTCCTATTTTGATTTTGGAATTCACTCTTCAGTTGTCAAAATGCCGTCCAAGCAAGAAGAGCAGCGTATCAAAATTTTGCTCGCCCATCGCGAAATCCGAGCTACTCGCACGCAAAGTTGGCAAAATCGCTAAAAGTTGCCAAATCAACCGTTACAAATGTAATTAAAGTGTTTGGGGAACGTTTGTCGACAGCCAGGAAGTCTGGATCGGGGGGAAATCGAAACCCGGAAGCCGCTGAGACGACAAAGAGAGTTGCCGGTAGTTTCAAGCGAAACCCTAACCTCTCTCCGAGATGCCGCAAATAAGCTGGGTGTATCGTCTACAACCGTGCATCGAGCCAAAAAACGAGCCGGACTATCGACTTACAAGAAGGTAGTGACTCCAAATCGCGATGATAAACAAAATACGATGGCCAAAGCGCGATCCCGGAGGCTGTACACGACGATGCTGACGAAGTTTGACTGCGTGGTAATGGACGACGAAACCTACGTCAAAGCCGACTACAAGCAGCTTCCGGGACAGGAGTTTTATACGGCAAAAGGAAGGGGAAAGGTAGCAGATGTTTTCAAGCACATGAAACTGTCAAAGTTCGCAAAGAAATATCTGGTTTGGCAAGCCATCTGTACCTGCGGCTTGAAAAGCAGCATTTTCATAGCTTCCGGGACTGTCAACCAAGAAATTTACGTGAAAGAGTGTTTGAATAAACGTCTGCTGCCTTTCCTGAAGAAACACGGTTGTTCCGTACTGTTTTGGCCGGATTTGGCATCTTGCCATTACGGTAAAAAGGCCATGGAGTGGTACGCCGCCAACAACGTGCAGGTGGTTCCCAAGGACAAGAACCCTCCCAACACGCCAGAGCTCCGCCCAATTGAGAAATACTGGGCTATTGTCAAGCGGAACCTAAAGAAGACCAAAAAAACTGCTAAGGGCGAGCAGCAGTTCAAGGCAAACTGGCTTTCTGCGGCGAAGAAGGTGGACAAGGTGGCTGTACAAAATCTGATGGCAGGGGTCAAGCGTAAGGCCCGGCAATTCGGATTTGGAAAAGCGGAAGCCTAACTGAATATTTTTCCTGAATTTTATACTAATTGAACTTGAAAAAGAAATTTAATTTGATTTTTTAAATAAACGATTTCACCGATTTACACGCGTTTTCCCTTGACCAAATTTTGACCGTATCACCCTTTACTTGACTAGCCTATTGGTCCCAAGTAAACGATTAACGTATCCCATTCTAGTCGGAATTCTAGTACTACACTATGTTTGTTTTGGTTCTCTATGAAGTTTGACAGATAAAATTAGGGGGTTCGTGGATTTTCCTATGTTTCGAGGGGTGCATCGATTAGCTTGGGACCGAAGATAGTACCAGAGCTGAGCCAAAAAGTTGAGCACGTTTCTTCGGGACCTACTAGTCTTAGAGATACCTCTATGTTGGTACTCAGAACGGAAAACAAGATCAACGGAAAACAAATCAAGGAAAAAAAGTAAAGGGTTGTGTCCTAGACACGACCGCAGTATGACGTAGAACCACACAAAATTGATGTTTTTCATGCATTTTTGACTATTATACTTTATCTTAAAATTTTCAAGTATTTCAATGTTTCGGTTATGGTTGACTCAAAACAATTTACACATTTTTCTTGACAAATATCCATGTGAAATTCTACATGATTTTCATTTGACCACACATAAACAGAATCCACTCAGAAGTACACATGAAATTTACACGCAAATGAATAGTATGTGTGGTCACGCATGGTTTTTATATGTACATATTGTAAGTATGTGGCCGACACATAGATATTGATTTGTTAGGAGCGGTATTTGAGGGGTGGGGGAGGGGGTTTAGGAAAGGTTGTTGATGAGTGGTGGTGGGGGGTTAGGAGAGGTTGTTGAGGGAGGGGAGAGATTGTTGTGAAGGGGGGAGGGGGAGAGATTGTTGTGAAGGGGGAGGGGGAGAGGTTGTTGTGAAAGGGGGAGGGGGTTTACATCATTATTGTGGTCACGCCGTGATCCACCTTTAGCCGCTGATTTGGTCCTGCTTACTGCAGGACCAAGCAGTGATGCCACATTTTTCGAATTTAGATCTGTATTTTCATCGCAAAAAATCTTTTTAAAAATCTTGCTCACAAAAATCTGTATAATTTCCGTTTTATGGTCTCAGTGCGGATTTACGTAAATCTCCATTGAGCAAATTCATAGTTCAAAATAGTTCAGTTTGTTCTAAGTTTAGAATCATAAAAAATTACTAAAGTTTCATTGGCATAGCTAATGGGGGTGACAAGGGGGCCAGGCCTCTTCAGAAATACAAGTGCGGCAAACTTTATAGAAGTTTTGCGAATTTCGTAGCATTTTAATGAAGTTTGCTTTCTAAAGAATTTGTCTATTTTTAAAATCTTGAAATCCCACAATCTTGATGTGTTTTGTATCTCTTCTACAGTGAAAATTTTCGTAATGAATTACCCAAGGGAAATGTCGGCTTCGGCAATACCTTAACGTATTATCGTCAGCAGGGTAAACAAAGTTCTAGAGCACTCAAATTTGGCCAATAGATGCTCTAAAACACAATGTATCCACATGCCAAAATTAAGCTCTCAAAGACCTTGTTTACCCCCCTGACGAAGTTAAGGTATTGCTGAAGCAAACATTTCCCCTATCAAAAATCCCTAGAATTTGATTTTGTTTTTGTCTGAGGTTACGAAAACCTTTATCTGGACATTGGACATAACACAGAACTTTTACTGGAAGTTTAGTCGAATGGCATGCAATAATCTTTATTTCTATAAGTATGCTTTTCAATTATAAAAATATCAAGTTGACTCTTCGACTCACAAACTTTAATCAACCCCTTGGTTGGTTTTCTAAAATGGCTTGTTTATCGATTTGACGAAAAATATATTTAATTAACCTTCATATCTGTAACCATGTGATATGATTAATTAAACAAATAGAAAGAGAAACTAAAATCCCTTATAACGAGACATCAGAACATCTGAACATCATAAGTCCATTCGAAAGATTCCAAGGCAATTCGCAGCTAAAATAATAATATTCATTTAGTGAAAAATCGATTTGGATTTGATGATCAGATTGAATTCAAGTTGCTTAGAAGGGAAAAAATAATTATTTATCGTAAATAATAAATATAAAAAAAAATATATGAAATTTATTTATACATTTATTTGAAAAATCTGAAAAATCTGTATATTTTTCAAAAATCTGTAATCTGCATATACAGATATCTGTATCAAAATATTGAAAAAAAATTGTATCATTACAGATAAATCTGTATATGTGGCATCACTGGGACCAAGTGCCACGCCGTCCGAAGCGAAAATGAGCAAAAGCATGACACCAGCGCTCTTTTATATCTTTTCTGGTTCAGAACCTGATAGGATTTCCCGCAGTTTTTTATGAATGGGGCGGAGCAGAAAGTTTCTTTTGTGCAGAATATGTAAAGTAGGATGGACTTTGGATGTTAATATAATTGCATATATAGAGGCACCAGATATGTTTTACCGTCAGTTGTGTGTAATTCACCAACTCAATGTCATCAAACATGTCTTCAAAGCAATTTTTTGTTCGAATTTGATAAAACTTAGTTTTACTAATGATTGTGGTATGTTTAAAATTTATTTCCCGGAAAAAAGGGATCGTCAAAGTCTGGCTCGCTTTCGAGTTATTTTTTGTTGAGGGGGGGTTAGGAGAGGTATTTGAGGGGGGGGGGGGTTTAGGAGTAGTAATTGAGAGGGGGGGGGTAGGAAGGGTTTGATGGTGGGGGAGGGGGGGTAGGAGAGGTTTGATTGTGGGGGGGGGGTAGGAGAGGTTTGATGGTGGGGGGGGAGGGTAGGAGAGGTTTGATGGTGGGGGGGTAGGAGAGGTTTGATGGTGGGGGGGTAGGAGAGGTTTGATGGTGGGGGGGGGGTAGGAGAAGTTTGATGGTGGGGGGGGGGAAGGAGAGGTTGTTGAGGGGGGGGGGCGAGAGATTGTTGTGAAGGGCGGAGGGGGTTTACATTATTGCTTTTCCTCACGCCGTGATCCCCCTTATGCCGCTGATTTGGTCCAGCTTATTGCAGGACCAAGCGCCACGCCGTTCGAAGCGACAATGAGCAAAAG